AATTAGCGATACATGCATACAGTTATACAATGTACTTTACATGTACATGTATAATTAATATTTACATGTATTATGTATACTTGTCATTATAAACTTTATTAGTAATATTTCTCATTGTCTATAGATTCCTCTACCTGAATCTGTTACTGGTAGATTTGATCACTCACTCACAGCAGTCACAATGTCACCAAACTGTGTGTGGCTAGTAATTGTTGGAGGATGTGACAAGGCTACAATAGAATATGTTGGAGGAGTGGAGGAGCTGATGCATACATTTATCACTGATACTAATAGACTAACAATGATAATTGAATTAGGTAAAATAATAATTGTAACTAGACGAATGTAAAACATTAAGGGGCTCAGCCCCCTAGCCACGCTATATTTTAAAGGTTATATGGTATAGAGCTACATTATTGTACATGTACATGAGTAAAAACAGTAGTTTGTAAGTTTATAATGAAGTTATCATGCTTGGAAATACAAATTTTCTTTATCAGTTTATCACATTCTGCAGCAAAAAAGTTGTGTTGGAAGCCAGAGACAGTAACTGCAGTCATAGGTTATGTCAGTAGTTGTGGAGGCTTTACAAGCTCAACTGTGGCATATCTGCCTTCTTAATCTTCCTTGTTGTATTTGGAAAGTAGTAGAGACTTCTCTTGCATTCTTGCTGACTCAAGTGAGTGACTTGTAACTTGTAAGGTCAAGAACATGACCTTGACCTGGCACCATTTTATTTCACTGTGACCACGCCCGTTTTCAAAGAAGATAAAGATTAGGTTATTAAAATAGGAAAATTTTTCATACGGATAAATAGGGGTGACGTACGTGTACAAACAAACATACTCTACTCGAACTAGTGGGCTTCGCCCAATGAGGATTTTTTAAAATTTATTGATTATGTACCATTATAGTGGGATTTATTGATGAAGGTTTTATTTTGACAAGTTGACAATTTAAAATAAAACGTCAAATTTTATAACTGCCAACAATTATGTACTTTGTACCACATGTACGTGAAGGCACGATTTGTTTTATTTGTCAAATTAAAACTAGCCAACCAGGGAAATTTACTGTTTTTTTCAAATTTTTTACTCATCAATAAATCCCACTATATGGTATTATTTTGTTCTTATTTCAGTATATATTGAAGCTGGTCAGTGGATAGTACAGTCAGTACTGGATGGTAATGATCTCACTAGTAAGAAATATCAAGAAAAGTATTCATCATACAGCAAGACCAGAACATGGTGGATGGATCAGCTAATAGAATATCCCACAGAGAAGGAAATGAATCTTCAGAGATACATCCAGTCTTTACATCAAGAACTACAAGTGGCTCATCAGAACAAAGTATCACTACAGGAGGCACTGACTGAGGCCAATAAACAAGGTACATGTACATGTGTAATATTATTCACATCCAATGTAGTGTATGTAGTGTACATTACATTATGTATCAATATAACATTTAATAGTAATTGTTAATGCAATAAGGCTGCTACAATATATTTTTTTCAGGCTCTAAAGTTGATGGCAGTCAACTAGTTATTATGAATGAGAAATTGGAAGAGGTTTTACAAGAGAAACAGATTATTACTGGTTAGTGTATCATCAGTACATAATATTATATGAGTCTATTAATGTAGAAGATAATGAGAAACTTAGAGCTACAGTTGCTTATAATGAAGTATATATAACTGAAATAGAAGAAGAGAAGAAACAAGTTGAGGAAGAGAAGAGAAAAGTAGAGGAGCAATACCTCATTGACAAACAGATCACTAAAGGTTAGAGTATATCATCAATGTGCATTTATTATATGAGAAAATATTAGAACTTAAAGCTAAAGTTGCTGTTAATGATGTATACATCACTGAATTAGAGGAAGAGAACGAAAAAGTAGAAAAAAAGTATCACAAAGAGAGACAGCTCACTAAAGGTTAGAGTATTGTCTTCAATGTGTACATGTATTATATGAGAGAATATTTAGAACTGAAAAGTAAAGTTGCTGATAATGAAATGTATACTGCCAAACTAATGAAGGAGAAGAGTGAATCCAAAGAGACTAGTACCAAAGAAGTGCAATTTGATTACATGATCCCTTCAATGGGTAAGAGTATTATACTGACTGAGTGTATATTGTATACAATTCATAGATAATTTGGAATGTCTGAGTGATGTCCAGGTAGCAGAGAAGAAGCTGTTCTTAATTCAAGGAGACAAACCTCAACTGATGAATTGGGAGAAATATGGTGTAAGGATTGGAGTACAAAAAGGAAGCCTATTGTCCTCTGAGACAGTAGAAGCAGCAGTGGTTGCTCTTGTAGGAGGACAGTTCGAGTTTCCTCCTAATACTGTCCTAGTGAGTGCTGTGTATGCAGTATCACTCTCAAAGCCTCTCCTCAAACGACTCAAGTTAGAGATACAGCACTGTGTTGATTTAACAGGACGACCAGATCTTGCACAATACTTAAAGTTTGCTATAGCTCCCGTGAGCACACCCAGTCTTCCTTACCTGTTCAAGTTTGCAGAAGGAGGAGAGTTTAGCTCTAATGGTGGGTATGGATTCATTGAGCGTAAAGATTTCTGTTTGGTGTGCATACTGGGATTGCTAATAGTATCTATGACTGGAGGAGGAGGAGGAGGAGGAGGTCAGCAGCAACAAGGAACAGGATCTCAAGGAGCAGGTGTAGTACCAGCTCAGGGAGGAAATGCACCAGTCCCTCAACAACAACCAGTAGTTAACCCACAAACCCAAGGAGAGCAGTCACAAGAAGGACAACGGGAACAAGAAGGAGATGCACTGACAGTACTAGCCCAGCAACAGCAACCAGGTCCAGGAGCTAGTGAACAAACCAATGGACAACAAGGAGAGGAGGTACAAGAGGAACGGAAACATCAACATGGAGCTCAGTCACATAAAAGAAATAAATCACAGTCACAAGATGGACAGCAAGAGGAAAGAGACCTTCTAGGTGAAGGTGGATACCAAAAAGGAGGAGAGAGGGAGTCACAGGAACAACCAGAACCATTGGAACTACAACAGGAAAAGGGAGGACAAGAGGAAGATCCTGTACATGTAGAAACAACCAAAGGAAAGGAAAATAAAGAGCACTTTGATGAGAATGTTACTTCACCTATTTCTGAAGTAGTGAATAAACCAACCACTGAATCTAAAGATGGTAAACATACACTCTATTGATACTGTATGTACTAAAATTATTGTATTCCTAGAAGCACAGTCCAATGGTGTAAAGGAAGCTGTAACATATGCTGGTCTGGTTTATTATGAAGAAGATGGTATAGAGTATCTGGTGACTTTTACTGCAGCTAAGAAATTGGATGCACTCATTCATGTAAGAATGTAATTTTATATACACAATGTGTTTATTATTATTTGATAGTATATTGAGCAGAAACACTCTGAAGCTAAGATTGGACCAGATATTTCCTTTAATTTCAAGTTTCCTTATGATTATGTTGAATTAAACTTTGATGCACCTCAAAAGAAACCATTCACTGGATGGACACTCACTCCTCACACTGATCCTTGCAGAGTAAGCTAATTGTTATTTTATAACTCTAAGTCATATCATGTATATAGTTATATCAAGAGGCCATTGATAAATTTGGTGATAAAGAGCATTCTCGTCCTTCATGTTGTCTCATATCAGTTTACGGATCACCTGATGCTGTCCCTTTTCTTAATTACTTCATACCACTGAAAGGTGTGGCTCGTCCAGTTTCATTAAACATTCATAGAGCACGAAGAAATTTCACTGTTCCTGTTCCTCCTTCAACAAGTAATACATGTACATGAAGATACAAATGATTTACTTATTTAATATTAATCAGATTCTACTACCTCCTCCTCCTCCTCCAATGTAGTACATGAACCAACTGCACTATCCACTGGAGGAACTAGTAAGTATTACTGTATGTATATGTGTTACTTTATGATGTCTATTCTTTAGTTGCTCCTAGCAGTAGTGGCAGTGATGAAACTATTCCAGTACCAGCTAAAAGAAGAAGAGAAGGAGGTACATGAACACAACATGTTATAGCTATTGACTATTGGTATTATTGTAGGTTTTGATATTAAAGCAGCTAAGCAAAAGATCAAACAAGTTATGAATGAGAATCACTCTGATTTTGTGGATATTTTGGAGAGTTCTCTTAAAGAAATTGCTAACAAGCTGTTTGAA